AAGCTGACCAAAATACCCAACAGAAAAGATGGGTAATGAGAGCTCCATAGGAGGCTTTGAAAAGCTCTGACATGTTCCTGGAAATCTAGAAAGGCACAAATATGCATAAGGCTGTGTGCATGCCAGGGATCTCTGGCTGACCTCAAGGCTCTGCACAAGTAGTATGTAAACTTGGGGTGGGGAACCTTTTTTCCTGCCAAGAGCCATTTGGATACTTATAACACTATTAGCAGGCCATGCAAAATTATCAACTTAAAAATTAGCTTGCAATATTTGGTCAAACATTTAATTAACTCACCCATAATGCTTTGGCAGGGCCAGACATTCCCCACTCCTGATGTAAAGGCTAAGGCAAGGTTGTAAATAGCCTGCCTGAACACTGAAGGCATGCACCAACATGCACACAGAGCCCATCAGCAAAAGCTTGGAGACGTACTGGTTCTAGGTTTTTAAAGAAATACCTGTCCAATCACTAGCTGGCCACTAAATTAATGAAACAGATACCTCAGTGTCTACATATGGCAAAGAATACACAATTTGCAGAATTAGTTCAGAAACATCACTAAAAAAACAAAAAACAACAAAAACAAACCCTGGGGATGGAGAAGAATCTGATTTCCAGAGTTGTCACATTATGTTAAGTTTTCAACAAAAATTTATGAGACATGCAAAGAAGCAATAAAATATGCCCCAAATACAGAAAAATAAAGAAGTCAGTAGACAATGTCCCTGAGGAAGCCCAGATGTTGGAATTAATTGACAGACTATAAATCAGCTATTTAGAATATTTTTAAAGAGCTAAAGAAAACCATGTTTAAAGAACTAAACAAAATTATAAGAATGGTCTTTTAATAAATAGAGACTATCAATAAAGAGATATAAATGATAAATAATAGAATTCTGGAATTGAAAAATATAATAATGTAAATGAAAATAAGGAGCTCAACAATAGATTTGAGCTGGCAGAGGAAAGAATTAGTGAATTTAAAATAGGGCAACTGAGCCCTAGCCAGTTTGGCTCAGTGGATAGAGTGTTGGCCTGCGGACTGAAGGTCCCAGGTTCAATTCCGGTCAAGGGCACATTCCCAGGTTATAGGCTCGATCTCCAGTGTGGGGCATGCAGGAGACAGCTAGCCAATGATTTTCTCTCATCATTGATGTTTCTATCTCTCTCTCCTTCTCCCTTCCTTTCTGAAATCAATAAAAATATTTTAAAAATTGAACAAAATGAACAGGGCCTCAGAGGCCTGTGGAACACCATTAAACAAATCAATACACACATAATGAGAGGAGAGAGAAAGGTGCAATAAAGAATCTTGGAAGGAATAATGGCTGAAAACCTCCCAAATCTTATTTAAAAAATAATCTATAAATTCAAGAAATGCACTAAACTTCAAGTAGGATAAACTCATAGAGATCTACCTCTAAATGCATCATAAACAAACTTATGATTATTGATACCATAATTCTCAACAAAATACTAACAAACTGAATCCTACAACATGTTAAAAGATTGTATATCAGATCAGGTGGGATTTGGCCCAGGAATGCAAGTGTGGCTCAACTTACATGAAAATCAATTAATGCAAACATCATAGTCATAGAATAAAGGCTAGAATCTACATGATCATATCAATAAACACAGAAAAAGCATTTAACAAAGTCCAACATAGTTTCATGATTAAAAAACACTCAACAAACTAGGAATAAAAGGGAACTTTGTCAACACTTGGGTAGCAGTTAATATATGACACATTCACTGTTCTAATTGCTTTCACTCATTGAACAATTTAATTATCATACTAACTCTATGATTCATAAACTATTATTACCCACATTTTGCAGATGGGTAAACTGAGGCACAAAGCATTTAAATGATGTTTCCTATGTTAGGAAGCTAATTAGTTGTGTAGCTAGTTTTCCAATACAGAAATTCTGGCTACAGAGTCCACACTCTTAGTCACAGTCAGCCATACTATCTCTCAAAGAATGTGAAATTATAATAATGATAAATTGGGTTTGCTTAGAACTAATGATTTGATCTTCATCTGTAAGTAAATTTAATGTACAACACTGTGAATTGATATCAGTGATCATAATTTGTAATACTGGTAAGAATGTTTAATAGTACCTTGGGATTGCACTGTCAAATAAATAAAATTAGCTTCTACCAAAAAAAAAAATGTTTAATAGTAGTACCAATGTTATTTAACCAAGTTGGCAATGTTGGGTCAATATTGATATTTAATTGTAATTTAATTCAGAAAACTAGTAATGATTATTTACATAAGTAAAAATAATTTGTAACATTTAAAAATTTTTAAAAATATATTTTTACTAATTTCAGAGAGGAAGGGAGAGGGAGAGAGAGATATAAACATCAATGATGAGAATCATTGATTGGCTGCCTCCTGCACACCCCCTACTGGGGATTGGGCCTGCAACCCAGGCATATGCCCTGACTGGGAATGGAACTGTGACCTCCTGGTTCATAGGTCGACATTCAATCATTAAGACACACCAGCCGGGCAACATTAAATTTTTAAAAATTAGTTTTAAAGTTTGACAGCATTCATAATGGTGATTCAATTTCTATTTGTAACTAAAATTTGATTCATAATTGTGGTACTCATAATTTATATTAGTAATCATAACTTTAATATTAGTAATTATTTATAATAACAATTGTAATTTAACCATATTAATAATTATTTCTATTAGTAACTATACTATAATTCAAAACATAGTTACTCATAATTTATATTAGTAATCTTAATTTGTAACATTGCCAATAATTTGTAATAATATTTTACAATGTTTTACTAATAGTCTAATATATTTTAGTAATTATAATTTATTTCACAACATAGGTACTAATCACTTGTATTGATAATTCCAATTTGTAACATTGGTAATAAATTGTATTGCTAGTTATAATATTTGATGTATTAGTAATGATAATATAATTTCTACCACTAAGTATAATGTAATTCAAAACAGGAACTTATAATTAATATTAGAGCACAATTTGTAATATTGATAATTGTAATAATAGTTATAATCTTTGATGACACTAGTTATTCAATTTCTATTAGGAACTATAATTTAATTCATAACCTTGGTATTAATGATTTACATCAGTAACAATAATTTGCAGTATTGGTGATTATTTGTAATATTAATGATTATATTTTATGATAATAGCAAAAACAATTCAATTGCTATTTGTAAACAATCTAATGTATAACATTGCTACTGATAATTTTTAAAAAAATATATTTTATTGATTTTTTACAGAGAGGAAGGGAGAGGGATGGATGAAGTATGGTAGCAACCATCTCAGGTAGAAATTATAGTTTAACTTTAACCCTGCTGTTTGGCTTATGTACCTATTTGCTTTGTTTAACAATGCACAGGTTATTTTGATTTTCTGAATTATATAAATCATCCCATTCGATTAAATGCCTTATTAATTGTAATGTGAATATCCCATGGGTTGTGGTCATACTGGTCTTATAAAGCACATTTTGCCAAAACCGGTTTGGCTCAGTGGATAGAGCGTCGGCCTGCGGACTGAAAGGTCCCGGGTTCGATTCCGGTCGAGGGCATGTACCTGGGTTGCGGGCATATCCCCAGTGGGAGATGTGCAGGAGGCAGCTGATCGATGTTTCTAAGTCTCTATCTCTCTCCCTTCCTCTCTGTAAAAAAAAAAATCAATAA